TAATGTTTTTGTCACCTTCAAAGTTATTGTATTTCGTATGGTTATAATGATTGTCAGCCTCATAAATTTGTAACTGGCAAGACAATCTTGGATGTGTTTTGGTGAAACTGCCCCAGCTCTTTCCTGTTGCTGAATGTTAACTGATTTTTTTTTGTTTGTTTGTTTCTTTGTTTAAGGATGACTTTATCTTGTCCCAGGCTAAATCTTTTGTCAGAACCAGTGTTTGTTGAGTCCTTTCAAGGCGCAATGTTGCAGATGTGTAACAGAGCTCACCTTTTCTTGGAAATACGTAAGGATGCTTTTGTGAAAGACTGAAGTCTATTCCTCTGTGCGTGGCAGGCCGGAGAATTTGGTGTGTTTTAAATGTGATTTGAGTCAAGATTAGCTAAAAAATCCTGGCTAATGTCTGTGCCATGTGAAGACTGCTTTATGCTGCTGTTCTGCAGCAGTCAAACCAGCCTGATGGGCTCTTTGCGGTTTGAGGAGGAAGGTGTCTTTGCCTTCTCTGCCTATTCCCAGCCACGCTTCCCCTGAGCTGGCTCTGGTATTTGTTGGAGTATGCCACTTTAACTCACTAATCTAGTAAAAAATCCTGCCTAGCTGCTTCCCCCACCCCCACCCCCGCCCCCCCCTTGTCTGGGATCAGGAATTAAAATTCACAGAGTGGTCTCACGGGAGAGCGGATGCAAAGGAAGTGATGGCAGTCCAGGGCTGTAAAGTCGTGTGGAAGGTTAGGGTGTCCTTCCACAGGACATGGTGAAACCATCTGAGGATTTAAAGGCAGCTCAGTTGTTCCAGACTACGATTCATATAAAGAAACAAGACTTTTTTTAAAAAAGTACCTGTTACTCTGTTGATCTAACCTACGCAGCTTTGTGTCAAGAGAGATGACTTGAGAATTTGGGTACTAAACTGATTAACAATATAAAATACCGTAAAAGCTTTTGTTTTTCTTGGCTGAGGAGGAGTCCTTCTTTGAGGACTGTGGAAAGTTTGCAGTGTTTTAGACGATCATCAATGAATCTGTCTTTGGCCTGAATCACCTTTCAGGAATGGCGCATAGCAGAGATTAAGATTTGTGTCCTCCATTAAGTCCTTTGCATGGTTTGCTCCTGAAG